TGCCCAATATAAATCTGAAATCCGATGAATGGTGACGAGTTTGTGGTCGTCTAACGGAATACATGAATACTCTCAACGAGAAGTACATCTCGCAAAGCCCCGTGCCAAATTAAGCCCGCAACTCACCTTATCTTCTTCACCACCCTCACCACATTCTCTGTCGATCAGTCTATCCGTAAACCTCGTCAACAACAAAAGTGCTTCACCGTCGTCTCGCGCTTCCAAAATTTCGTTCTGATTCTCTTTGAGGATTTGCAACGCAACTTGGAACATCACCTTCAATGAGAACCTTTATTAGATTGTCATTGAAATTCCGATAATTCCACGAGATCTTACATGGAGTTTCGAATGAAAACGGACGGATCATTTTCCCATCATATGATGTTCATTAAAAAATTGGATGAGAAATTTGTAACTTCATGAATCAGCTGAAAATTTTCTCTGCAATTCACCTTTGAGCCATCGTAGAAAAACAAGTCGAGAATATGAATTGCTGCGTCAAACTTGACTGCATTCAGGAATACCGTTAAAAACCACGATAGCGCTATCATATCGTCCAATCCTAACACTTTCAGCTTCGTATGCAAGTCAGGTAGCAGTTTTTGAACAATGTCTGCGAAAACACCTGTAAAACCTTATTCATATTACTCTCGGAGAATAATTGTCATAAAGGTTCAATTATTTTGCATACAACTAAGCGCTCTGAACGAACCAAAAAATAGAAAATTTTCAGAAAAATCGCACGCTTTTGTAAAGATTACACACAAATTCATTCCACAAATGAACAATTGAATGATAAGCAAAGAACACGCCATAGTTCAATGAACAGTCGAATGAAAACGGATGAAATAAGTACTCAAAGGTTAATCAGCCGAAAACAAATTTCATTTTCGTGAAACTGAGCAAATTCTGAGAGCGAAGTTCAGGAGAAGACGGAAACTGCTCGTTGATTACAAGAATAAATCAGATGAAACACCTTGATCCACCAATGCGCCCACCACTTTCGTGTTGTAATA